ACTAATACCACGAGAGCTTCAAAATTATCGAGCAATTCCCGATAGGTTCGTTGCAAACAAACGAAGGAGTCAAGTTTTTTAGGAAAAATCACTCGTGCTTCGCACTCGTGATTTAAAGAAAAAAAATAGTTACGGTAGCAATAAACATTGTAGATTCAACTACTACATTAAAGTGAAAATTACATTACAATGTTGATGACACTATTTGACATAGTAAATCGAACGATGAATCCTAGTTTAATCTACAATGTTTATTGTTACTGTAATTATAATGTCTTTAACAATTCCCTTGTAGTTAAAATTACCGCAACTAATACCACGAGAGCTTCAAAATTATCGAGCAATTCCCGATAGGTTCGTTGCAAACAAACGAAGGAGTCAAGTTTTTTAGGAAAAATCACTCGTGCTTCGCACTCGTGATTTTTTAACCTGAATAACTTGACGACTTCGTTTGTGTGCAGGGAACCTTGAGGGAATTACTCGATTAATTTTGAAGCTCGAGTAGTATTCGGGAGGGAATTTTTCCATCCAAATGTCGGCCAAAAGCATTCCACTATGAGACAAAATCCATCTGACAATTCCAACCAGGGGTTCACTCGACTACGGAATCTTTTGTTTTCCACAAATATAGTCAACATGAAAAATTACCAGTTGAATTATCAAAAATTATCAGCTGAATACCGTGTTGACTATATAAAATAACAGTCGAATAGTGCAATTCTATTGGCTGACATTTGGATGAGGAAAATTCCCGAAAAAATTTGATAACAAAAGAGTATCGTGTACCTCGAATACTGCGTTGTGATTGGATACAATCCAGTCCCGGAAAAATCTCGATATAATTCTGTTCTGATTGGGCCACGGGATGTCGAATTCCGCAATTCTATTGTTCGGAAGGGTAATGGGGAAAATAATCATTGAAAATGAACCAATAGTCAAAATCGACTTAAATCGTTTCACCGATTTGCTGCTGTATTTCAGTTATTTCCATCTTCCTTCATTTGCGAATGGCATAAATTTCATTTTTTCTCCATTTTTGATTTGGCTATAGGTTCTGAATTTTAGAAAATTAAGAAAATTCTGCGGTTTCTCGCAAAATTTCTAGAGGAAAATGTCTGTTTTTTTTCATCCAATAAAAAATTCGAAAATTAGTTTGCTACAGAGTTCTCGGATTTTCTGAATAATTCAAGAAATTAAATTAATAACAGTTGTCTCATTTTTCAACAATTATGGGTGTTGATCGGGTCACTTTGGAAAGTTGAAAGGAATTGATCAAAGATTCAAAATTATTCGTTAAAATTTTTCACTTATTCATCCTTATCATCAATTGAATTTTTTTTATGAGTATCATTAATTTTTGTAATGCATTTATGAGTATATGAAATGCTGATATATTTGAAATTTGAATGAAATAAAGGAAATTTCACAAATGAATGAGATGAAAGATCAGCGTGCGCGCCGTCAGGTCTACACTGAGAGAAAAACAAACATGTTGTCAAACAACTCTTATTTGGGCCAACAAAATCGCTAGTTGAAAATTCCCAAAAAAGAATTTGTTTGGTTCGAATTTGAGAGTCTCAAACATGAATAATTGTTCTGCTTTCAACAGCAACGAAATATTTGGCTCAAGAGGCGGATAATTCACACCAGACGGTGCCTTTTCAGGATGGAAATATCTCATATAGAGGAAAATTTATCAACAAATATTTTATCATTAAGTTACAAGATTGCTATCATATCATTATTATTGTTTCATTTAAGGGTTCATTTCTTGTCTGCGATTATTAGACAGCCGAAACGAAAAACTACTATCCCTTGTTCCGCATAAAACAAAGATTTTTCGGGAGCAAAATACGTATGGGAGTATCGAATAACGAAGGAGTAGTGCTAGAATTTTTTTTAAACTACTAAATCTATTTTTACGACAAAATTTCTTCATTCCGGCGCACTCTCTGCATGTTTGGCACAAAAAAATCCTTTTTTGATAATTTTCAAAAAAATATTTTCTTGGCACACACGGAGAGAAATATTCAATAAAAATTACGTATCTTTTCCGTAATTCCGGAGCGAAATGTGGTTGTAGGAAATTTTACGGAACTGTCACGGAATTTTTCCGGAGGGTTGCGTAATTTTTATCTGAATCTCTTGTGAAAAATTACGATATCGTCACTCACATTTTCTGAGTCGATTCCGTAATCGGTGAGTGAAGTGAGAGTTCCGTAATTTTTACTGAACATTTCCCTCCGTGCAAGTAAGACTTGTCAGAGAACTTTGTCGTTTTTCTCTCAGTGTAGTGAATAATAATCGAAATAATTGAGTGAATTACACCGTTGAAAAATGATATATTTCTCTCAAATAAACATTTACGTGGCAAAAATAGTTGTCATTGTCGGTGTGAATGACAAAAATCCATCGTTTAATTTTTGTGTTTAGGTAAGGTTTCATTTTAGAGAGGTGGATATTCCAAGGATAACTAGGCGCTTATTTTGGTTGAGTGACGAGTGGAAGATTGAGAGTTTGGGACGATGATAATTGAATCCTTTTTTTCATGGGGCATCATCTTCACACGAGAGATAAAGTGGTTTTTTTCATTTGAGGTCCTCTTCTCCTCTCCCTGGGGGCCTCACTCCTCTTTTCTTCCTAAATAATAGACCTGGCTTATTCAGAGTTCGTTAGGCTCGGGAACAGAACCGGTCGGCAGGGCTATATCCACTGAAACTGACTGGAACTTATTATTACGTCCTTCTCAAACACACGGGCACAGGGAAAACCGGTACTGTCCGCGTGCCTCCGGACTCCCACCATCGGTTTTTAAATTCAACATTGTTTTGTTGGTGTGGAGAACAAATAAAATGTGCGCACTTGGCTTCGATTTTATCGTCGTTGATAATGCGAGGGAAATGAATAGACGGGGGTACTGATGAATGAACGAGTCGTGGATGAAATATTGAAGATAATTCGTGGTATTAATTTTGTGGATTATTTATTGTGAGGAGGAGGCGATGGTTTTTATGGCCATTTTGGTGGGTGATAAAGGAACATTGATGAATGGGGTGGAGTTGTGAATGAGATAGGGGAATGAAGTGGATGTTTTTTTTTGAGGAGTTCATTCGGTATGAGGTTGTAACTGGCGATGTAGGATTTAATATTTGCCGATGTAAGATTTAATTGAGGGTTTTTTCAAGGGCGCAAGGGTAAAGCAATTACAGCTGAGGCTTCGTATAAGATACCTTAGGGACAGTAGGAGAGTGGAATTCCGGGAACCCCCCACTACGCGCGCAGAGAGGAGAAAAATAGGGATCAGCCGGTTTCGAATAAGATACCTCACTCGTTGCGCCTGAATTCAATGAAATTTTCATTTTTACTGAATGAATATCGATAACTAATCAATTTATATGTGTTTAATGGTTTGAATTTGTATCGCCCGCGTTCCCTTTTCTCTCTAAACATAACCCCGCGTGATAGAATGGCAGCTGATGTTGGGGGATTGTTGGTGGACTCGAGAATAATCACAGACGAAAAATTACGATTTTGCGATGGGAAAAGTGAAAAAAAATCGATGTATATTTCCATTACTTGAAAAAAGTGGTGTGACCCCTCCTTAAGGTCATTAGACCCTCATGATCACTTCGTTCGTCCCTCCCGTTTTTTTTTAAATTTCTCTCCGTGTACCTAAAAACCCATTGTACTTCGTTTGCCAGGCGAAAGCGTAGTTTTTCACGTTTTCGGCTTCGAAATGCTCCTCACATCTCAATTTTCATCCGATTCAAAGCTGTTTTTATATGCAAAATGTTCGTTACATTTCATAGAATAATTTCCCACCTAGAAAGTCAGTTTTTAATAACCAATAACTTAAGATGGGCAGAGTGACAGTTTCAAACGCTTTCCCATTCTGAAACTCCGATGAGTTTCGAAGTGGGAGCAAATGCTTTCGAATCGTTATTTAATCATTCGATAGAGAAATGGAACAAGATCCTCTTTCCGTCACTGCCCTCGATCACTTCATTCCTAAATCAAATTAATTCCTCAAATAATACGTCTACTTCATTCCCTTATCTCATTCATAATCCCACCGCATCCGTCAATGCCTCTTCATCACCCAACTGAATCATTATGAAGGGACATCGTCTTCCTTCTCACAATGAATAATCCACTGAATTAATAATGTTATTTCTAGCAAGATTTGAAAAATCGACTTGTTGCGTTTTGGAGTACAGCAAGGTAAAATGCGTTTTCCAATTATTATTAAAAACTTTGAGATTGGCAGCACAGAGAAAGAATATACTATTATTTTTAGGGACATGTCATTGATTCTCAAGAATTTATCTCCAATTATTAGGGACTCGCGATTATGAAATGCAGTGAGTGTAAAACTCTGAAATTCAGCGACATCATCACTAATTTTTAAGAACATTATCATCAATTGTCAGAGTAACGTCAGTGATTTTTTCGTTTAAGACAATTTAGTCTTTAGTTGAGTTTTCCAGAAATATTTCCGAATTTAAGAGAGATAGTGAAATTTTCATAGTAACCTTTTTTATAGAGCGAATTGAGTGCTACTAAGAAGGTGATGAGAAAAATTTTGCTATCTCCCTTAGATTTCGAGATATTCATTGAAAACTGGCCAATAGCCAAAATCGACTTAAACCGTTTGACCACTTCGCTACTGAATTCAATTACATTAAAAAGTTTCCGATCGAACCTTTGAAAAATGAGCCAAGAAACCGAAATAAAAATGACGCGAATCCCCAATAATTGAGGGATAAATTCCTGAAAATGAAAACATTTTCTCCTCCGAGATAAATTACACATCTCCTTCCTCATCGTCAATGGTTGAGCACCACTCCTCTAATTTTATTATTTCCTATAAGGTCGGGTAAAATTCACGGAAGCGGAGATCAATGAATAATTCAATTGAATAATGGTTTCGAAAAAACCCCAAAAGCCTACTCATGCTTCGCATACTAATGCAATTGATGCTTTTTACTTCTGTTACATAGTGGGATTCTCAGTGCTAGGTTTTTACTTGTTTGGTAAGCCATACTCTCGTGGATTCTTCTGCGACGATGAGTCGATCAATCATCCATTCAAGCCCTCAACGGTGACGAGTTCAATGCTGTATGCGGTGGGAATATTTCTACCCGTGTGTGCAGTGAGTAAAGTTTAATAGTTTCTTATCAGTATTTCCTACACTAAGTCGGGGTTTTTCCGTATTTGTCGGTCAAATTAACATGCCTTATTATTATTGCCGGGGAATACTACCGGTCATGCGGCACACCCTGTTATCCTCAACATCCGCAGTGAGAATGAGATTAAAAAATTAAACGTAAATCCCAAATGCCTTGTAGTAAGTTTCTCCCTGCCGGTTTTATTGAATACGAGGTGGGGAGAGAAACCGAAGAGAGGAAGAGAACAGTAAAAAAAGAAGAAACGGCGCCACCGGACTACGGACAAAGGAGAACCGGGAGTGGATGAGATTCCCCTGGGTAGATAGAACGCCATAAAAGTGCGATAGAGGGTGAACGGTTTATGTGCACGTGCGTAGCACGTAAAAGATTGTTTCCTTGAGAGGCCGAATTATTTTTTTTTAAGGGTGCCAAGTGAATTTGAAAAAATATTCAAACAAATTTTTTCTTTCCCTCCATCATTGGAGAAATATGTATTCATCCATCCGACGAAATTTCAAACCCGCAATCGGAACTAGACATCGAGAAAATAAATGCGGAAAATCCTCTATTTCGCGTGACGAACCTCGAGAAAGCATGGGATCAAATGGGTACGGCGGGTTGAAATATCTCTCTTATTCACCCCGGTACCCCATTGTTTTTTGTCGCCATCACATTGAACACATCATTCCCCATATCTTCAAATTTTTTCAAATTTTTCTTGAGTTCCTAGGGGGTTGAAACGTTCAATTTATTCAAAACTGCATAAGAGGCCGTGTATAAGACTGATTTTGTTTATTTAATTTCTCGATATCCATAAGTTCTAAAATTTTAAAATTNCCTGAAAATGAAAACATTTTCTCCTCCGAGATAAATTACACATCTCCTTCCTCATCGTCAATGGTTGAGCACCACTCCTCTAATTTTATTATTTCCTATAAGGTCGGGTAAAATTCACGGAAGCGGAGATCAATGAATAATTCAATTGAATAATGGTTTCGAAAAAACCCCAAAAGCCTACTCATGCTTCGCATACTAATGCAATTGATGCTTTTTACTTCTGTTACATAGTGGGATTCTCAGTGCTAGGTTTTTACTTGTTTGGTAAGCCATACTCTCGTGGATTCTTCTGCGACGATGAGTCGATCAATCATCCATTCAAGCCCTCAACGGTGACGAGTTCAATGCTGTATGCGGTGGGAATATTTCTACCCGTGTGTGCAGTGAGTAAAGTTTAATAGTTTCTTATCAGTATTTCCTACACTAAGTCGGGGTTTTTCCGTATTTGTCGGTCAAATTAACATGCCTTATTATTATTGCCGGGGAATACTACCGGTCATGCGGCACACCCTGTTATCCTCAACATCCGCAGTGAGAATGAGATTAAAAAATTAAACGTAAATCCCAAATGCCTTGTAGTAAGTTTCTCCCTGCCGGTTTTATTGAATACGAGGTGGGGAGAGAAACCGAAGAGAGGAAGAGAACAGTAAAAAAAGAAGAAACGGCGCCACCGGACTACGGACAAAGGAGAACCGGGAGTGGATGAGATTCCCCTGGGTAGATAGAACGCCATAAAAGTGCGATAGAGGGTGAACGGTTTATGTGCACGTGCGTAGCACGTAAAAGATTGTTTCCTTGAGAGGCCGAATTATTTTTTTTTAAGGGTGCCAAGTGAATTTGAAAAAATATTCAAACAAATTTTTTCTTTCCCTCCATCATTGGAGAAATATGTATTCATCCATCCGACGAAATTTCAAACCCGCAATCGGAACTAGACATCGAGAAAATAAATGCGGAAAATCCTCTATTTCGCGTGACGAACCTCGAGAAAGCATGGGATCAAATGGGTACGGCGGGTTGAAATATCTCTCTTATTCACCCCGGTACCCCATTGTTTTTTGTCGCTATCACATTGAACACATCATTTCCCATATCTTCAAATTTTTTCAAATTTTTCTTGAGTTCCTAGGGGGTTGAAACGTTCAATTTATTCAAAACTGCATAAGAGGCCGTGTATAAGACTGATTTTGTTTATTTAATTTCTCGATATCCATAAGTTCTAAAATTTTAAAATTCTCACCGATGTTCACCATCTGTCTACTACTATTAATTAAAAAAATTATAACTTTGTTGGTGAATGTCAATTTTCAAGGTCATCGCCAAATTCACTTGGCATCCTTAAGGATATCCAAGTACTTTGGCTATTTTTTCTCCGGTAAAATGCTTTTCTACTTTTGTAGTCGAGCCTCACAGCTTTCATTTGAGCCCCATTTGACCCTAAGTTTCCGGACATTTTACAAAGATTTTATTATTTGAACTTTGCAGGTCTGAATTTGAATCTTGATATTGAACTGTTAGAAAACATTATAAAAATCTGAAGAAATTTTAGAAAGTTTACTTTTGGAGGAAGATTAATGAAATAATTAAAAAGTTGCTATTTTTGAAAATTATGAGGAAAATTATGATTTGTTTAAGCTTTCGGGAACCTTATTCTTTGGTTGCGAATGGAAGTAGTATAATGATTTAATTTAAGTTTTGGATTTTTTGGGTTATATCAACCCATTATGATCCAAAAAGTCCGAAAATTTTGGTTCGCTAATGAATGGATGGAATTGAATCTTTTTCTTTTTCAAATGTAGGTATTGTTGAGACCTATCGATCACTATTAATTAAAATTTAATTCGTCCATTGGTTTTTTAAATTTTTGATTTGAATTTTTTTCGAAAATCGATTGTCCCACGATCCTATTTACTAAAGATGAAAGAAACGTGAAGTTGTTTTATATCGAAATATCTCGAAACTGTCTGACCGCTAATCCTTAATTCTGATTGGTGACACGAAGTTATCAACAATATGTGACACGAAGTTATTCACAAAAAAAAACACGCGGCATTTTCAAATTCTTTATGGAGACCGATTATTTAAAAAAATTGAAGATAATTAATTGAAAATGAAAAATTCTTTATAGATTCTTTTACTCTACTTCGCTATTCACTTCAATCATTAGTCGAATTCTCTTTGATTCATTATCAATATTTATAAGGTATTCATGAGAAAATGAAATTTAATGAATTTCATTTCTTCATTTCAACAAATGAACAGATCAGCGCGCGCGAGAGCGCGCGCATAGATCTTCTAACTAAAAAAAATTGCAGGCGGCTGTATCTTCGATGCAGCAATAGTTGTACGTGGATACGTCCATGGTCTTTCCTTCTTTCTCGAATTTCCTAGAAACTCCTTGCAGTCCCTCGAATTTTCTGGAAGCTCCTTGAATTTTCTCGAATTTTCTGGAAACTCCGTGAATTCCCTCGAAATTTCTAGAAATTCCCGGAATTCGCTCGAAATTTCTAGAAACTCCGTGAATTTTTTCGAAATTTCAAGAAACTTCTCGAATTACCACGCAATAATCGTTGTTTTGATTTATTCGAAAAATTTCAAAAATTTTGTATTTTTTGAAAATCAGAATTTCGGGGATATCTTTGGATATCATGCTTCAAATGAATTCAATCATAGCTTAAAATGTTTGTTTTAATGCCACTAAGCCGAAGTTGAAAGATGATTACAATAGCTATATTGGTTGATTTAATTTTTATGATGATTGTTGAAAATTTTGAATTTTTCATAAATTTCCCTGAAAGTGAGCTTTCTGATGATTTCTTCAAATGCAATGTTTTAAATTCATTCAAGTATGTGTAAATAAAATTTTTCTATTAACATTTTATCGAAAGGCTGAGCGGAGAAATAGTACTGTAAAAAAGACAATTGGTTGTGTAGAAGAAAAGGGATAATAAGAATAATGATGCTGATAACTTTCAACTAAATTGAAAATCTAACAAAATTAGGTAAAAGGGAATCTTATTACAGTTGATAAAATGAATTAAACAATGTACTATACATGATAGTATTATACATTATACATGATACATATTGCTAATTAATTAGCAAAAATAACTATACTTATACAATACAAGAGCAATTTCCCACTTGTTTACAGAATAATTGAACTGAAAAATCAAGTATTTTATTGATTTTCACATCATTCGAACAGAAAATCAATCGAATATTTGATTTTTCAATGACAAGAACTTAAACACGATAAAAATTTCCGGAATTTGGCACGGAAAATTCAGACGAAAATTTTTAACAGTGTAGCTTGTTTTTATTTTACGACTTTTGAGTTCCCTTTTCAAGTCCCAGTCAGTACTCCATTCAGACTTATTCATGCGGCTGTGGATTTTACACTGTACCGTATCAACACTCTCGTAGAACATAGGAGTAGCTAGTACCGTGCTGGTACGAGCGGTTACTGTACCAACAACCTCCCGCTCGGCGGAGCCTCAGGTTGAAAAATTCGGTTCCACTTGGGATTGAACTCACAATCTTCCGCACACTAGACTTGCGTCTAGCCCACGTGACATCAGTGATAATAGAAATTGTTTAACTCTTCAGAACTCGCGCTCAGCCACCGACCTTCGTTACTCGCGTGGTGAGCGCTGCGCCGCCCGTGCTTTCAGTAACGCAGCGTTGTCACGTTCATAGGTACGCGCCGAGCGTGCGGCGAGCGGGAAACAGCAACAGCGGAATTGAAAATTTTACATCCTTCGTTACTCGCGCTGGGCGGCACGGCGCCGCTTTTGCGTATGAGCCTCAACAATTTATTATTTTTCGTAGCCTTGATGGATTTTCAGCGGATAAGAACCTTGCTAATCCATTCTAAATGATTCAAGCTAGGCATTCTAATTTTTTCAATTTTTTGAAAGCTCAATTTTGCAAGAGGCAAGCGAAAATTTGAAAAAGGCGGCGCGGCGCTTATAGCGCGAGTTCTGAAGGGTTAATCGTTTTCGATGAAATTGCGAATCTGGAAAAATTCCTAACGATTTGAAAAAAAAAACTGTTTTATGCTGGAAAATTGATTGTTTATGAAAATAGGTGGCAAACTTGAAAAACTGTCAGCTGTTTATTATTTCATGAATATTCCTGTAGAAGA